TCACAAATGCAATTGTGATGAAAAATTTAGTCATTAAATGTTAAAATTGATATTAAATAAAAAAGATATTTATATAATTATAACACAAATATTTTAACAAAAATTTTGTCACAAAAAAATAAAAAAATATTTATTTCAATACTAATCAATTTTGATTAAAATTAATTAAACTCGATTAAAATTAATCAGGCCCAATTAAAATTAATCAGACCTAAACTAATCTCAAGTTTTATTGAGTTTCACATATTTTATATTGCAAAAATTTATTTTCTTAAATATTTCTTATCAATGTGGGATATATTTATAATGCAAAATCTTATTCTCTTATGTGTTTTTTATCAATGTGGGATGCATTGATTAGAAAAAATTGACAGTTTTTAGTGACGAAATATATTTTTTAGTGATTAATTATTTGGTCATCATTGAATGTGTAAGGTACATGTGACCAATATTAGAATTTTGTTATAATTGTAATGTATTATAGTGATGATTTTTATCGATAAAAACTTATTTTATCTTTATGAACATTTTTCGGTGATGAAATATATTTTTTATGATGAATTTTTTTCTTCATCATTAAATATATATGCATCTATGACTAATTTTTTAGATCTGTCACAATTGTGATTAGTTATAGTGATAATTTTAAAATTTATCACAACTTTCTATCATTAAAAATCATTTTTCTTGTAGTGACTCTCAAAAACTCACTCAATTGAGGAGAATTATAATATGAATTTTTTTTTTTGCACAGCAAAAAAGATTTGTATTTCATGGAGTACAAGGGGTACCCCTGCCCTTAATACAAATTACATTATCTGGAAAAACCAGCAGCTCAGTTCCTGACCCTATCGAAACCTTTCAGCTGCAAGCTGAGGTTCCGAATGGTTCAGTCACAAAATACTACCTGCAGAAACATTTCATCATTGAAAGTCCGGATTACTTCTTCCGTTTAGCTTTTAAGCACAACACGGGCTCCATCATCCACTCGTACATGTTAAAAGAATATTCATTTGCTTTACCTTTGATCCAGTTGAAAGCTCTGAGTTGAACAAGTTCAAATATTCTGTTGACTTCATACTCAGAGTTTCTAAAAATCTTTCCATTCCTTGACATCCATATAGACCATATGAATGCTAGCCAAACCACATCCCACCCTGCTCTCACTGATGATTCTTTAAAAAAAGATTGGTGTTGCTCAAAAGTTTCTTGGCAGGTATTAGTCATAACCGTTGATATCCCCCACCATTGCAAGCATTTTTGCCACACTGAGCAAGTATCTCTGTAGTGAATAAACAAATGATTGCTGTCTTCTGTGCTTTCCCCACACAATCCACATAGCACTTGGTTAGGATCAGTGATAATGCCCTTTCTGAATAAGTTGATTTTAGTGGGAATTCTGTCTTGTAAGGCTTGCCAAGTGAAAGCACTGACCTTTGTTGGGACTAGTCTGCTCCATATCCTTTTGTAAATCCATGCTTTGTCATGTCCATTGTTGCTTGAGAGCACATTGTATGCTGATTTGACTACATACTCACCATCTTTATCATGCTTCCACTCCCACCGGTCTTTCTGCTCTTGTACAGGTTGTGTGTTATCCAGTAAAGCCTGGAGCTTTGACCAATTGTCCTTCTCCCATTCGAACAATGATCTCCTCCACTGTACAGACCATTCCCATTTTCCATCCCTCCATTTGCCCATTTTACAGATTCTATCTTCTTTCCCTGAGGACACCCGAAACAGTGTAGGAAATTGGTTAGCAAGAGATTGGTTCCCAATCCACACATCCTTCCAGAATCTTACAGTGTTCCCATCTCCCATTTTAAGTTTGAATCCGTCGCTAAGCCATCCCCTTTTATTGTGCATAACGTGGTCTAACTTGCAAATGTTTCTCCACCAACTGGATCCTTTATAACTATTCTCTTGTACCCACTCAAGCCAATGGCCGTCCACTCTCCCATATTTTCCTTCAATGATCCTATATAAAGGACCATCATTCCCGCTTGCTAATCTGCTCCACCACTTGCCCAACAATGCAAGATTGAAGCTTATCAACTCTTTAACTCCGAGCCCACCCTCCTTTTTGCTTTTACATACTTTATCCCAACAAACCCAATTGGTTTTTCTCTTCCCCTCCTTTCCCCCCCATAGGAAGTTCCTACGAATTTTGTCAAGGGAGAGGATCACGCCTTTAGGGAGCAAGTGCACTGACATGAGGAACACTGGGATGTTGGATAGCACGGAGTTGAGAAGTGTGATCCTTCCGCCAAGGGATAGGAACCTGCCCTTCCATGAGCACAATTTCTTCTTAAAAGTCTCGATCAGGGGTTTCCATACCTTAATGTTTCTACTGTTGCCTCCTATTGGTACACCAAGGTACTTACAGGGGAAAGCTCCTTGCTTGCAATTCAATATGTGAGCCATTTTTTACTTCCATTCATCTAAAACATTTATGCCCATGAGCTGGCTTTTTTCGAAGTTAATCTTCAATCACGACACCAACTCAAAGATTCTCATGATACTATTTGCTGCCCATATATTCTCTTCCTCTGCTTTACCAAACAGGATTGTATCGTCTGCAAACTGAAGGTGTGACCATTTCATTTCATTGCTGCCAACATTGATCCCCTCAAAAAGTCCCCGATTAACTGCTGAGGAGATGATTCCATTAAGGCCTTCAGCTACTATCAAAAATAAATAAGGAGATAGAGGATCTCCTTGTCTAAGGCCTTTGTTGATTTTTACTTGTCTGGTGTTGCTACCATTGATCAAAACAGATACCTCTGCTGTCCTCAAACACTCATCTATCCATCTTCTCCACTTCGGCTTAAAACCCATTCTTGACATCATGTACTGTAAAAACTCCCAACATACATTGTCGTATGCCTTCTCGAAGTCTAATTTAAATGCAAAACTAGCTTTCTTCTTTCTCTTTGCTTCATCAATTATTTCGTTGGCAATAACAATGCTGTCCGCCATTTGTCTTCCTCCAACAAACGCCATTTGGCTTTCTCCAATTATTTTGTCCACCACTGCACCGAGTCTATTAGCAAGGAGCTTTGCTATCACCTTGTACATCACCCCAATCAAAGATATGGGATGGAATTCCTTTATTTTTTGGGGATTTATCACTTTGGGGATCAACACGATGAATGAGCTGTTTACCCCTCTGACCAGTTTTCCATGTTTATGAAAATCTTCCACATAGCCCATCATGTCATCTTTGATTTCCTCCCACATTTCTCTTATGAACCTAAAATTAAAAGCATCTGGTCCTGGTGCTTTGGAGCAATCGCAACTCCATACCGCTTGCTTTACCTCCTTTTTGCTGAACGGAGCTAACAATATTGAATTCTCGTCCTTTGAGATCTTTTTAAATGCGATCCCATCGAGGTGGGGGCGCTGCCATCTGTCTTTTGTGAATACCTTCTCGAAATGATTGGCCACCTCTTCCTTGATCTCATTAACTTGATCCATGACTTTGTCTCCCACCTGTGTACTGACTATCTCATTCCTTCTCCTTCTTCCCTTAACACACCTATGAAAAAATTTGGTGTTCGCATCCCCATCTTTCAACCATGTCTTCCTAGCTTTTTGTCGCCACATGCTCTCCTTCATTTTCTAGCATCTCCACAGTTGTAAGAAGCTATTCCTTCTCATATCCACTTCCTCGGCCAATAATGCGGTTATTTCTGCCTTCAAATCCAAAGCCGCAATAGTCTCCTTGTATTTTTAAATGTTGGAATCCACCTTAAGCAACATGTTCCTGCTCCAGACCTTTAGAGCATTCTTTGTTTCCTTTAGTTTTTCTTTTAGTCGGTATCCGTGCCACCCTGTGATCTCTGTCGATCTCCATGTTCTTCTCACTAACTCCTTGAACTCTGGAATATCAATCCACATATCAAAAAATCGAAAAGGTTTGGGGCCCCAATCGATTATTTGATTTTTTAGCATAATTGGACAGTGATCCGCTATTGTTCGCTTTAATCCCCATTGCTTGACATCCCCCCAATTGATACACCATTGTTCAGAAAGCAGGAACCTGTCCAATCTACTTATAACTGTTCCATTCGGCTAATACCATGTGAATTTACGACCTATTAATGGTAAATCAATAAGGCCGCATTCTCTAATGAAACTGTCAAACTCCACCATTTCCCTCCTTCTAGTACTTCCTCCATTCCATTCTTGCTCACATCTTACAGCATTGAAATCCCCCATCAAGAACCAGTTCCCACCCGTCCCCAAAATCAAAATTTTCAGACTAATCCACATAGCCCTTTTATCCAGCATTTCACATGAAGAGTAAATGTTCATAATATATACCGGAATTGCAGAAGCCCCCCATAAGCCAAACACCCCCACAAAACCCTCCCCTTCAATTATTTTTTCTTTCTTCAATATTTCTTTATTCCATATGCAAATTAAACCACTAGATGTCCCTCTTGAAGGCTTTGCTACCCAATCAAAGTTATCTGCGCCCCACAGAGTCCTACATAACTGAAAATCCACCACCTCTGACTTTGATTCTTGTATAGACAAAAATTCAACCTTTTCTCTGTTAACTAATTCTTTTACTCCATATTTCTTACCCTCCTCTCCTAATCCTTTGGTATTTATAGACAAGAAAATCATTTTAAAAAAATACCATCAGTCCCCACAAGAACATCAGCACTAACTTTTGATTTCTTGAATAGCTCCTTGTCCCTTTCCTCCATGTCCTTTAGCCTTCGAATTACTTCATGTTCATTGCCACTGTGACCTGCTCCAATTTCCTTTGCAAACGCCTAGATCCTCTCCACATTACAAGATTCTTGAGTTCTCTTCAAGATCTCATTTCTGTTTCCGATTCCGCTATCGTTGACAGATTCGCCTGCCACTTGGTTTTGAGATCCCGGATGGAATTTCGGCATCCCCTCCTTGGCTTCTCGCTCTTTTGATCCTTTTGCTCCTCTTTCTGGGTTGATTCGTCGATCTTCCTTTCTTCCTTTTCTGTATACCGACGTGCAGGATCTGCTTTTCTTCTTCCTTAGCTTGCTCGGCCTCTTGTGTTTTCGCCCCATCCATTCCTTTTTAGATCCTGATTCTGTCATAAAGCCTTCCCAGAAGCTAGGCTCCTTTTGTGCCATCTGGGAAAGTCTCGAGCTGGTGCTACTATTCTCCTTCTCTTGATCCTTCTGAAATGATGCTTCTACCTCATCATGATTAATATTTTTTGGATTAGCCCTTTATCCTCCAACAAGTGACGATCTTCCACTAAAATTGGCCCACCGTCTATCGGCCCATTATCCTCCTGTTGGGCTATTTTTGTGCCTATTTTGGTCCCACATCCATCCAGCACTATTGGGTTTGCATGCTTATATGGCCCAACGTCCTCATCCCTCCGATCCTGATCCTTTTTACCGTTTGGTTGAGTTTCAGGCACAGTTTCCCAATCTGCTGGCGTCATTTCATGTTCCGGGGCTTTGAATTTGATTTTTCTTTCCCCCGTTATCTGCTAAATCTTCTTGGTAACCTTCAGCATTAATTGAGACGTCATTCACAGCTGAATTCTGGTCTTCTTTTGCAGTTTGCCGCCCATTTTTCCAATGGGTATGTGCCAGCTCACCCCTTGTTTCCTTGTCCATCTCAATGTCATCCTCTTCCACGTCATCTTCTTCCATCTTTCCATCCGGTACGTTCCAGTACCCCTTAGACCCATCGTCTTCTTGGATGGACTCCATTATTTCATTGTCAAATTCGCTATCCAGTGACCATGATTCCGAAGCATTGTTGTCGGAGTCACTCATCATTTTAAACATATGATCGAACTTCATTGAAAAAATGCCATTTGTGGCCTCTTCTTCCATAACTTTAATAATGAAAGGCTCCCCATTAACCTTAACATTCATGACCTTCGAAATGAACTCCATTGTTGAAGTGGAGATTATAAGTCGTCCAATATCCAATCTCTTCTTTAAATTGGTGCTGTCATCCAAAGTGATGAATTTACCTCATACTGCACCAATTGAAGCGAAGAATTCTGGTCTCCACGCATGTGCTGGGACCCCTTGGCATCGTAACCAGACAAATCTTTCTCTGGAAACTATTGATGATTTCCAAGGATTAACCTCCGAAAACCACTGTCCTAGCCATTGTGAAGCATGTTCAACCAGATCCTTAATCTCCTTTTTGTCTCCTCCCTCCAATAACACTAGGCTTCCTCCTATTGCTCTTACTTTACAGGAGAAATAGCCTTCCATAAAGAACTTTTCTTGTAAATTCGGGATTATTTCAACTGAGTGAGCTACCCCAACCTAGCATCCTTCCAGCCATGATAAGTCCTCCTCCTTCACAATGAACTCTAAGCTATGTTTCACCTGTTCCTTGGCCTTCGGAATCCAAACTTGTGATGGGGTTTTTTTCCTGTTGCCTCTCTGTTGTTGCCAAAAAATTGGGTCTCCGATTGCTTCTTGTTTATTCTCCCGATTTGGCTCTTCTTCGCCGTTTCCCTTCACAACATCGGCATAGGACCTTTGCCTTCTTACACCTTCTTTTTTGCTGAGCCCATGGTCCGTACTCCTGAGGCTTTCCCTTTCCATAAACTTTGGTCTATTGACCCAAAGTTTGAAGTCTTCTATTCGAATCTGGTCCAATTTGTGCTCCAGTTCCCATTCGTCTTTAACCTCAAGGAATCTGACGAATCCAAACCTGCTCCCCCTCTTTGATCTCCTCAGTGGGCTATAGATGGCCAATACTCTTCCAAATCTTTTAAAAGTTTGCCACATGTTTTCATAGCTCCAATCGTCAAGAAAGTTGGTGAAGAAGAACACAGTGGCTTGGTTGTAAATATGTCGATCATAGCCCCATATGTCTTGGTTCCTCCATCTGTTCCTGTGAGCAGCATCCGCCTCGTGTTCTTGCTCTTGTTGGATCCCTCTCCTATGATTGAATCTTTCCCAGTTCCATGCTGTCCTTCTTCCCCGAGCTTCGAATCTGTCGCACCTCTCTCTATCTCCCCCTTTCCCTCTCATCTCGATAGGTATATATCTGAAATTTTTTATTAAAACTTGATACATACCAAAGGAGGGAACATGGCTATTTATAGGCAAAATTCAACTGAGGTAATAAATGAAAAGCAAAATATAGTTGGGAGTTACCCATTTTCGTGGACTTGGGTGGCCATTTTTGTGGACTTGTGTGACCATTTTGACAAAGTTGCATTGGCCTATTGTAGTTAGTGGAGTTGCAGAGTAGCTTCTGCATGCTTGTTACATGTTCTTAGTACTTTCTCCCGGTGCATTATATTTAGTGGTTTCCATGTATAAAGTAATAGAAAACCACATAAAGCATAAGCATACAACCTTGCAAGACTCAATCCAAAATCCTACCCTTCCCTCCCTTTTACCCCTATTGTTCCGGCACATGAGTGAAGGTTTATACTGCAATCCCCAAAAGAAAGAATTCAACCCTTGGATTTAATCCAAAAAAGAGATTTTATCTTAATAGTTTCTACCACTTTATCCTGAGAGCATTCCATCTCCATGAGTATCTTCCTATTCCGAGCCCCCATATATGCCATGCGTATGAGCATGAACTTAAACTTCAATAAGGAAAGATATATATGTTAAAATATTAGTTTTGATAAACAGAAAAAATAATATAAATAAAAAAGAAAATATTTTAACTAACCAGAAGAAATAAATAAATAACTTAAGGTTAGATTAAGTGGTAAATAAATTAGTTTATTTATTTGCCACGACACCAGCTCTCTGGAAAGAACGGATTAGCCACAACCGAGTAGTTTGAGGGTTGATTTTCCACAAAAATTAGTTTGAGGGCTGATTAGCACTTTTTGCTCACTTCTTTTTAACCGTGTGGTTTGTCATTGAAGCTCTTATAAGTCTGCGCAGCTGTCAAACTAAGACTAGTATAGGGCACCAAGGCCAAGATGCTTCAGTGAGAAGTGCTAATCTTGTTTATGTTTCACACCCTCCTTATCGATCTGTCTACTCCAAAACAGCTTCAGAAGACAAGCACGCTCTTCTCCTCCTCCTTCTCTTTCTCCATAACAGTTCCAGAAGATGAGCAGGCACAAGTGTGATGCAGCTTTAAAAGCAAGTTGTATATAACGAGAGTTTAGAGGTTCATCTGTTTCAGACGCTGTTATTGAGTCGAATAATGATGTACTAGCGTATTGCACCAGCTTTGCGAGTTTGTTGGTATTTAAAAAGAAGAAAAGATATGTTAAAATATTAATTTTAAGAACATATTCTACCTAACCACAAATAATAAAGGTTTGTCTAGTTTGTTCTTTAAGAATTTAATTTAAAGATTATTAAATATATTTTTTATCATAAATTTATATTAAAAGATAAAAATTAATATTTAATTTATTAATCATTTAATTAAATTCACCTAATATTAAAATTAATATCAATTTTTACATTTTTTTATACACATTTATAATGAATAAATACTTTTAACCTGTACTGTACTCTAAGATGTTATAAAAACCCAACAATAAATTAATATCAATAGCTAGCTAAGGTTGGGCATTTAGTTTGTATTGTCTAAATTAAACTAAATTTTTAGTTATATAAAACAATTTCAGATAAGATTTTTTATACTTAATTTAATCTAAATTTTTAATTTGGTTATGATTTTAGTTATCCGAAATTATTTAGATAATTCAGTTAATTAATTAAAATAACCAAAATATACCATTATTCTTTATTTTTTGTGATTAAAAGCTTTTTCTTTTAATTTTAATTATTTCTAGTCTTTTTATTTTTAATATTCCTATCTATAAATTTAAGTAAAAAAATTTTGTTCAAAAAAATTTCATAGGGCATAAAAATCAAAATAAAAAAATAAAATAAATTTGTATTAAAAATTTCAGATAATTTAGTGATTTTTATCAATAATTTTGGATATAGGTCAATAATCATATCCAAACTAAAATTAATTTCAATCATTTTAATTTTATCTGAATTAATCCAAAATATTTGAAGGATAATGATTCAGAGAACATTTTTTGGGGACAATTTTAAGGGACGATTTATGTGTCTTGTTATGTAGACAAAGCACATATCTCACTCGTCATGTATCTCACTCGTCACGTAGAGTGAATTAAATTACCAATTTAGGTTTTCATTAGAAAAAGTAAAATTTTTAATTTTGTCAATATCAACTTCTCCTGTCTTCATCACTACTGAACCCTCACCCTAACCACCATCTGAATCGAAGATGAGGAAGAGGAGAACTAACCAAATCGAAGAGGAGGAAGATGAAGAACTAAGCTCTCAGCTCCCAAATCAAAGACAGTGAAGAGAACCAATCAAATCGAAGAGGAAGAAGATGAAGATGAGACTTCAGTTTCCGTTTAATCCTCAAATTTCATTCTCCACTCCCTGGCTTTTGCCCTTTGTTGGGTTCCTCCCCTCTTCAAATATCCTGCAAACCCACTCTTCCCCTCATTATTAAATCTTCTTTAACCGGCGATGTCCCTTCATTTCTCTTCTCCACCCATCTTTCCCTCCATCATAAACAATGGTCAGACCTCTTCATGACGCCGAGTCCTTTGTTGTTGGATCCACGGAGACGAACATTAGTGACGAAGACGAGTTCTTTTTGGATTTCAATCGTCGATTCTCTCGCTCCTCGAGTTAGAAACTCTCTGTGCCGAGTTCAGAGTCAATAGAAAAAATAAAGCAAGTTTAGTTTGGATGAAACTCACCAAATCGATGCCGGGAAAACAACTTTGGCATAGAAAGAAGAATTCTACAGAGATGCAAGGCGACACAGGAATAGAAAGTGAAGTTAGCAACCGTACTTCAATGAGATATTTAGAATTAGGGATTAAGTTAAACCCTTTTTACAAATCGACTCTCAAAAAAAAAAAAAAATTACACGTGTCTATATCTACGTGGCAAATGTGCCATGTGCCATGTGCCTAACCATGTAGATGATCCTCCAATTTTGTCGCACAAAAATCGTGCACTCTATTATTAGCCATATTTGAAATATCCAAACCAAAATTCAAAAATTTGGATTGAAGTATCATAAAACATTAATTATGATTATAGGGTCCTCTAGGGAAAGTATGAGGGTCAGAGCGAGAGGAGCGGCGACAAGGGAAGTCAGCGGCACCAGACAGCGGCAGGGGAACAGGCGGTGGATTCCGGGATTAGATCACAGGCTTGTAAGACAGACAAAGACATTCTTCTTTTACAATTTTTCAGAAAATTGTGAGGAGAAAGAGTTATGGTACCGATTTCAGAGATGTGGAAAAGTGGTAGATGTGTACGTACCAAAGAAGCGCGACAAGTGGGGGAAGAGATTTGGATTTCTGCGTATGGTAGGTGTGCAGAACGAGAATCAGATGGTGAGAAGACTGAATGATATCTGGTTGGGTTCATACAAGTTGCGAGTGAAGATAGCAGAGGAACGAAGTAACGCAAGAGTAAAAGTTGAAGTTATGGGAGACAGAAAACAGCATAGGGAGGATAGGTTGGTACAGCCAGGAAAATCATATGCCCAGGTGGTAAAGGGGAGGACACAGAGTTTACAACGCTTGCCGGATGGTATAGGATCGCTGGAAGGGGAAGACAGGGGCATCAACCAAATGGAAAAGGAACCAACTCAGGCGAGGCAAAGGAACAGGAGGGAGGAAGTGGCATCCTGTGATATACTAGATGGCAAAAATTGTATGGTGGAGAATAGAATGGTGAATCCTCACGAGGAAATCATGAAATTCACACCAGAGCAGGAAGAGAACCAGTGGCTTGAAGGGGGTTTTGTGGCGGTTGTGAAATCACTAACACTAGTAAAAGAAGTGCAACAGAGAATTGATGTGGATGGAGGTTTAATCAAGATCTCACCATTAGGGGGAAGGAGGGTGTTACTAACTGAACACCGGGGTCTATTCTTGAATTTATGAACCACAACAAGGAACTAATTGCTTTGTGGTTTGAAGACATTCAATCATGGGAGAAGCAAGTTCAGGATCGAAGCAGAATGGCATGGCTACGTATTACTGGTATCCCCTTGAAGGCCTGGAGCGATAGATGCTTTAAGATGATCGGAGAATCAGTGGGAGAGGTGGTGAAGATTCATGAAGATACATCAACGAGATCAATTTTATGTGATGGGAGAATTTTAGTCATTTTTCATACCGAGAATAAGATATCTAAACAGATTGCACTGAAAGTAGAAGAAAAATGGTATGCATACCCGTCATAACAAGACCAGCAAAAGCGCCGACAAAGACGATGATGCTCCAGGGACTCCTGAAATAGGTGTGCCAGATTTGAGCATCTTTGGCCCATCTACGGTTGCAGTATTTTTGGATACGATATTTCAAGCCTGTGTACATCTCAAGATTCGGCACCAGGTTCTCGCCGATCTTGTTGAACAGCTCCGCTACAGCTTGATCGCTTCCTAGTGCGTTGTGCAACACGCCTGCATCTCTCAGTTCCTTCACATCCTCTCCACTATCAATCAAGGAGTCAAGAAATGACACGTACGAGGTGATCTCGTACTCGTTTTTCAAATCCGGACACATCTCGTACGCTATCAAGTTCAGCAACTTTGGCATGGTGGTGTCGTCCACCAAAATGGGAGCAAGCGTAAGGGTTGGGATGCAAAAATACCGGTAGTTGAAATCAATTTTTGTGATAACACCACTACGCTTTTCCCTCGCTTTAAAACAATACCCTTTTCTTTCAACTCCTTTACGCTGCGAAATGTGCCTCCAAATATCCTGTTTTCCATTATCTTCTTTCTCTGATTTGACGTTTATCAGTCTTTTTCGCAACAGTTCCAGAAGATGAGCAGGCTCCTGAGGAGGATCAACCTGAATTTGATGTTGTTGTGGCTGCTCTTGAGGAGGATCAACCTGAATTTGGTGTTGTTGTGGCTGCTCTTGAGGAGTATGATTCGGAGAATCATCCTGAGTTTGGAGTGGTTGCTGCTCGAAAGGACTCAAGAAACTCTTGCTAATGAATTCGGTGATGCAATCCTTCAATTCCTTCTGAGGATTTGCTTCTCCTCCTTTAATTGGGACTCTAGTGCACGAGTCTATCAGTATCTCAAGGAGTCGGTAGGGCAGTTGGTTCTCAAGTAAGAGTATATCAAGCTTCGCAAAGGCGACTCGGTCATTCTTACCATCGAATTCCTCCCACTTATTCTTCACATCAAGGAAAATGAATTGCAACAATGCACAGCGATCCACAAGGAACATCCAAGCCAACTCCTCATCATTCCAATTCTCTACTTCTTTTGGGTCATAGCACTTCCTCAAGCTATCTATCTCCTCCTTGACATTGTTGTAGAAATCTTCCTTCCTCTCCCCACTCCCACCATATTTGATGAACATCGCCGCCAGTTGTAGCTTGCATTCCTCAGCTATTTCGAATCTCGAGCTTTTATTAGGTCCTCTTTCATGGTGGAGAGGACCAATCGCAACAGAAATTGGTTCAAAGTAATATCGGTTGCTTTCCTTCTCATCGTAGCGCGCGCGCAGAGTATGCGTAACCCTTCGTATTAATGGCTTGGTTGGTGGCGCATTTGATGGACGGCTAGCGCCTTCCTCCAATAACTTATTCAGCTTCTTCTCTGTGGTGAGTTCGCCGGCCATGTTGTACAAGTTACAAGTCTGCATGTTTTACCAAGAAACCCAGACTCTTGCTAGACAAATATATATTACAGAACAGATTTTTCGGTAACATTATGCTTCTATATTGAAATTTGGAATATTAAATTTACCACTTTACAATGGTAACAAGTTTGGTATTGGAATTTTAGTAGAATTGCTTTTTCACTTCAAAAAGAAAAGATGCGGGTACCTAATACATGTTTTCTCAGTGCGCCGGGCGAAGTGATATTATCCGGTTATTCCATTAGTTTACAAGAAAAGTATTTTGTTGGTGGTTTTAAATTCGAATTTAAGATGGTAGGGAAGGAGTTTAACTAGAATTTTTATTTTTTATTGTATAATAAATCATGTGACATAATAAAAAAATAACAAAAATATTTAAAATTATGTCGTTAATTAACTCTTAATATCTACAATTTTGTATATTTAAAGTTAATTGGTTTTTTTCAAAAGAATTATGTGACATGTTTATTTAATATCTCACTATCTTATACTATATTATAAAAATTATTAAATTTTTATAATAAATACCCAAAAAAAAAAATGATTGGTACACTCTCCGATTCAACACACTTTATAATATACTTATTAAGAAACTATTATTTTTAAATTTGAATTTATGGTGGGAAAATTTATAAAAGCAAATTTTAATGGTTAAATCAAAGTGTATTGTGTAGTGTGTTGAACTGGAGGGTATATCAATCATTGTTCACACAAAAAACCTTTTAAAATCTTCAATAAATATCAAATAAATACTTAATGGACTTTTTAAAATTAAAAGTTAATTATATTTTTAATAATAATATTTTTTTAATACAATTTTATTTTAATTTGATTTCTATTACTTTAATTGTATATATATATTAGTAAAGATTTATTTATATACAAGTTTTACATACTGTACTTATATAAAATCTTAACTATCATCTCTCAACTTTTAATATTTGAAATTTATTCACCTTTTATTATATTTATTAAAAATGATTATTTTTTTCAT